TATGTATCCTTCACTGTGGGAACAACAGAGCCCTATGTACACTTTTGACTCCCTATGTGAGCACATGTTTTCCATTTCTGTTCGGAGTGTCAGCGAATTGTGTGACACAAGGGGAGAGCAGGGTGTCTGGGGCGGGTGCATGTGCCGAGATGGGCTTCCAAGCACTGTTTACTCTGGCCAGTGCTAGTTGTGGATACCAGTCTGTAGCCAACTGCCGACCTGCCATCTCACCAGCAGTGTCCCACCCGCATTACTCCCCCACCCTGCTCACTCTCCAGGGCCAAAGTTGGACGCTGCACCGCAGGATTTCTGGGAACAGACGAGCGTCAAAGATGCTGGACTTCTCATTATGGGAATGCCAGCATCGAGGTTCAGGTTTATTTGCCCTAGAAGTGAGTGATTATTATTTTCCAACACAAACACCAAAAACAATCCAAATGGAGGACATAGTTCATCACGGTTCAGGGTAAGCAATTAAGACGGTTAGAGTTATTCCTTACTACAACAAGTAGCAGAGTAGTGATAAATAAATGATGCTTGTAATTTTTTGTCCTGACCAGAGGAACCAGAGCGTAGAGGCTAGAATTAGGAGCGAAGGGTAAGAACAACTTGGTGGAACTTCATGACCTGATCCTCTTTTTCTGCAACTCCTCTTTAAAAAAAGGGAAAAGTTAGAAGAAGCACACGATCACAAAGAAAGTGATTCTGTAGAAGAGAGAGTAGCTCTGCAATAGCAAAACTAAGATGGTCATAGGTATACTTTATTAAGTCTCAGTGCAAGATAGAGAGGTGCTCAAACTCAAGCTGACAGAGGACAGTAGAGAGCACACCATTGCCCTGTCCACACTAATTTGGATATTTTTCAAAGTAAACATTTTCCTTTTCATTTTGGCATCTTATCTGCAAGCAAACCATGTCTATGCAAACATTTGGACCTCATAGTTTCAGCTGCAGTTGTACATGTACTTGCAAGTGGCACGGAGTGCAGTTCTGTCTGTCTTGAGAGAACTTGTCTTTCACTCTTTAGTCTGTCTACCTGTCGCTTGTTATCTATTGTAGTGAGCTTGCAACCCCACTACAGCCGTAGATTGAATGAATTCTGTGGGGTTCACTGAAATGGCTTTTGGTATAAATGCTCTGCAGATCTTGAAATGGAAGTGGTCAAACTGGAAACACTTCGGCTATGAAATTACAGTCTGACAAGTTAATGTGACGGAGGTCTTCTCGCAGCCAAATGCCTTTTTCAAAACCTTGCAACTCACAAGTAATTACTTTTTATAGATTTATAAAAAACATTTTTTCCTTGTATTATTCACTTGTGTGTGTATTTTCTCTGGGCACTAACTTTAACCAACTCTCTGCTGTTCACTCCTTGTCCAGACGGTCACAGGGTGGTGAGTCTGAGCAGTGGGTGCGTGAGCAGTGAGGTAGTGCACATGCTGTAATAGGGTGTCACAGTGAAAAACACTGTTGTGTCTGTCCACTGGGGACATCACATCATGGAAAACCAAGCACAGACCTCTGGACGTCGCAAAAAGTTCTCAGCAGTCTTGTCGGAAACGAGTCAACAAACTCCCCGGAGAGTTTGTCGCGCCCCTCGGCCCCATCGTCACCTCACACGAGTGTGAGAACGTGCAGGTGTGGATCACAGCAGTCGAGCGTGTTCAAGTGTGTGTGTTTGAGCATGGGGCACTGGGCCCTGTTTGTGCCTCTCCTGCCGGGTGTGTTAATGAAGGAGTCTAATTGGATTTCTTGGGCTGGTGCAGGGGCATTCAGGAGTGGGCGGGGCCGGTCCAAACCCCCTGAAGGGAGAGGAGATGAGGGGGACAAACTTGCAGGCTGGATTACCACTGTGCCCCTTCCTCTCTCACTCTGTCTTCCCAAGGTTGGGGATTATCGTTTGCATGTGCAGTGAGGCTGGTGAGGGAGCATTTCATGTGTTCAGCTTGTTAAGATAAAGGGCAGGTCATGCAAGGCTAAACAAATTCTGCTTTGAACACAAATGTTAAAGGGATAATCTGGTGTAGGTCAGCTGTTGCTATTCAAACCACCTCTATGAATCTATGAACTTGGGAAACGTTATCATGAATGGTAAATCTTTTGCAAATTCGAAATTTAAGAAACACTTGTAGGTGGGACCAAAGGCCAGTGCAGATGAAAATGAACCATACTTTGTTGGCTGACCTGTTTACTGCCATACCCTTTTCCTGGTCGGTGAACTGATTGAATAAAAAAATTGGAAGTTGAGACCCTCAGATATGCAATGACAATGGTGAAGAGGAGAGGGAGGTTCTGCAGATTTTTTTTCAACAACAAAAGCAGTGAAACAGAGGGAGACGTGCAGTGAGGGTGAATACAGGTTCTCGCTCCTTCCCACCCTCCCCTGTTCCCTCTCCCTTGGCTGAGCTATTGTCCGTTGTCCCCCGACCTCCTCATCTTCCGGCTGCCACTGGAGTGGGTCCTGATGGCCCTAAACAGGATTAGGAGCTGCCACGGCTCTGGCCATTCTCTGTGGATTTGGGAGTGTTACTGCAGCTTGGCTGGGCTATGGTACTTTAATTACCCTGCCACCAGGGGTCCTCAGAGTGGCCCGGCGGGTAACAAGTTGCGAAAAGCTTATTGCTTTACATGGGAATAATCCCTGAACTTGTGCTCACCACTTACTAACAATTTTTACCCTGATTGTTAAGTTTCAGTGCAACTGGACATTAGTGTGTTACCATCAAATAATGTTGACAAGATAAA